ATTACTGGGCCCTAGTTTTGCCAAGAAAACACAAAAGGCTTTTCTGCCTAGATGCTGAGGTGCAGAGGAACACATGGCTTGCATGGGAAGGGAGGGCAGGAGCGGGATCCAGAGCAGGAAACCCAGCAGACACCCTTCTCTATCCCCAGCCCTCCCCACTCCCCACCCCTGCAATCTCCTTCGAGGCCTGTGGACCAGCCTTATCCTAGTGCCTCCAGAACAAAGGGCATTCTCAGTAGACATGGCACAGCCCTCCTGGACTCCACATAATCCTCGGCCTTCTTTGGATCAGCCATGTTTTTTTCACCTCTGTGGTCTCTTGATTGGGGACCAAAACCTTGTCTCTCCCATTACCCATAGGTCTCATAGAGCCTGGGGTGGGGGTGAGGGTGGAAGTGGAGGTCCAGACTTAATTTTTAACTAACCAGAACCCTTCCTTCTTTAAGCCAGTGCAAAGCTGAGGCAGGACTGCATCTCCAAAGCAGAAATATGTGACCTACGTGTAACCAATGTACACAATTAACCCCTTATACCCTACCGTTTGTTTCAAGAAAGGGACCTGGCCCAAGTCAGCACTACGCAATGCATACTTGGAGAGCCATGTTATTTATCCAGGTCGAGGTCAGTACTATTCAGTTGTCATAGGGAAGAAGAGATCTGAAAAGAGGCCTCTCAGGGAAGACAAAACTGAGAAAAGACTGGGCAGTTGCCATGATGTACAAAGCCACTCCTGAATGAATGCATTCAGGACGTTTTTTTAAGAACTATATGCCATTAAGTTATTTTTGTGTTTGCACTGGCTCCAGTTGGGCTTTCTATCTATTTACAAACAAAATCATCCTGTCTGGCAAGACTAAGATTGAAGGAAAGAAGCTAAAATGTGCAACCCTACAAGGAACACACTTGAGACAGCCTCTGAAGGGCTCTGGAGATCTTGGCCATAGCCAAAGAATGCAGAGCCGGAAAAGCTGTCGGAGATACAGATCCAGTTCAGCTGTCTTTGCCAACTGTTTCTTCACAGGTGTGTACATGAAAGCTGGTAAAGAAAAGAGGTTCCACCACAGCCAAGTGACCAACTCTTCCCTTTGCTGTCTAAGAGTCTCATGTGCAGCTGGGGGTTCCCGAAAGCCTTAGCCGAACACTGCAGACCTCCCTCTCAAACATTCCGCTAACAAAAGCACCTCCGCTTTTTCTTTTCTATGGCAGACACCTCTTCCAACCCCTTCCCATGTGGATGACCTCCACCTCTGGCATCACTCTTTCATCATCTCTGTTTGATTGACACTGGCAGCATCCTTGTTCCTCCAGCTCACCAGTCTGATCTTCAAGCTGCTCAGAACCTTTTCTTCTAGAGTCTAGGCCGCCTACAGACAGTACTTTCCTCTTCATCTTTTAACTTCATGCCATCAGTTACCTGCACAGCCTTCTCCATCCTTTCTCTATTTTCACAAGTAGTTCAAATGCATTAAAAACAGCTACAGGTTTGTTTTTTTTTTTACACTCTATCCACAAGTATACATACACACACACACACTCCTCTGAAATCAATCTCTCATAACTTAGTAATCTTTACCTGATTAAACAGATATTTCTTCCTATGGTTAGATCTCAGTTACCTGAAATATTTTTACATACAGGGTCTTGGGCTGGTCTCCAACTCCCAGGTACAAGCAATCCTGCCTTGGCCTCCCCAGTGGCCGGAATGCACCACCAAACTTGTACCTGACACATTTTCAGGCTCAGGGTGGCCGTAGAAAATACATCTCCTTGCCTATTTCCCATAGACTCCCTGAATGACACGACCAGTTATTTTCACATCCTGTGACTAAATTCTCCTATTTCTGTAACAGATTAGTGCCATGTGCCATCATTCCGTGTTAGCCAAGATCTGGCAATGCACAGATGGAAAGCTTCATGCAAACGTAAAACAAGGGTACTGCTCTCTGGAACCCAGCATGCAGTTGGAAACCCTCAAGAATGGCAATTATTATTTTTATATTCCTGTCAGAGTGTCTTGTGAATTTACAGTTGTCAGAGGAAGAGCTGTGGGGGTCTGGATGAGATTCACAGGCACATTTCTTCTCTGACCCAGGTGAGATCGTTTATGAGAATGTTGGGCCAGGAAAGGGGGCCAGGGAGGGAATCAAATTTAAACAAGTGGTGCCTTCCTCATCTCAAGTCCCCCCTCCCTTGCAGAAATCTACAGCTTCTCATGAATATCATTAGATCGGCAGTATCTTCTCTTTCCAGAAGTTATTCTAGGGGTGAGAAACAGGAATAAAGAAAAACTGACAGGTATTTATGATGGGCACAAATTCTAGGCCTCTTAGTATCATGATTAACATAACTAATTAGGTTATTTTCTCTATAAGGCTTTCTTCTGAATATTCTGCTCCAATATGGCAATTCATTATGGACCAAACTATATACCTTTTCCAGCCTGGCTTCTTTATTTTACTGGAGACCAACTTGTATATCCTATCGCACACCACCACTGAGCCCTTCTTCTTCTCTCTGGCCAGCAGTGCATCTGCCCCATGATCCTCTCCTTCCAAGGGTCTGAGGTCTGGCCAGAGAGGATCAGTGTCCCAATGCTGAAAGGTGTGGTTGTCGGCTCCCAGCTGTGAAATAAGCCAGGAAAAGAGTATAGGGAAACCCAGACTCTCACTACCTTCTCTAACTAAGCTGGGACATTTGCTTCCTGAACACACCTGGGGTCACATATCAAAAGACTGTGTGACCTCCACGGCTCATTCAGAAGTGGTAGAAACCTGTCAAGCCCATGTCTTCCACTGTCTCCTTCTAGTTGTCTGTTATCTGTGGACCCCCTGGAGCAGAGCTTCTGTGAAGCCGGATAGAAAGGGAAGTTCCTGAACCTGCTCCAGAGGGCAGAGGAAGTAAGACTGGAGTCTGAAGTATCCTCTCAGTGGCTGCTAAATGCACTACAACATAAGGGACAGTGTGCAAATTTCATCAGTGTGCCCAGGTCTAGAAAGGGCATCGGGGTGGGGGTGAGGGAGAGGTGTCTTTTTGTGTATGTCTTAATCTGGGCTCTGAAAATCCCAGTGCACCCCATGGGGCTCCTTTTCTTTTAACTCTGCGTTTCCCTGATAGCCTCCCCATTCGCCTTTTTCCTAAACTAAGACTAGATTCGGGAACCCAGCTGCATGGTCATAGGTGATGAAATACACCAAGCGCACACGCAAATCCTGCCAGAGACAAGATCCAGTGAGACTTTGAGGGGACAGCACCAGGCCTCTGCTGGGTTCTGATCCCTCTCATTTGTTCCATTTAATTCTGACACCAAGGCTACAACCACATCAAGACAACATGCCCAGTGATTGCAAGAGCAGAGCTGGCTACCTATGGAACGTGCAGACTCACACTTAATGAGACATAAGATGGCAGCTGACAAACAGGGTGATAGAGATGGAAGCTGAGTCCCTCCCTTCCTCCCTCCCTTTCTACACCTGTGCTGCTCTGTTCAATCCCTTTACTGGATAAAAACTTCTACTACTGCTTGAGAACTTTCTACCCTCCCGTCAGTGTGACGTTAGCCAGCATCTATTTGACTACACTTGTGTTATTTGGTTTCTCTTTTGTGTCTTTATTCTTTCTGACTAAACTGGAAAATATTCTTCCTGATCATAAGGGCACAGTTTGTTTTGCTGAGACATGATAGTCAAAGCTGAACTTGTAAGTACTTGCAATGAACTAATTGATCTCTTTCTAGACATTTCTCCATTCAGTCCTCTTTGTGTGTATATGTGTGTGAATTTTATTTATTCATTTTTATGCATGTGAGTATTTAGTCTACATGTCTATCTATGCATCATGGCCATGACAGGTATCTGTGGAGTTCAGAAAAAGGTGTCAGAACCCTGAGACTGGAGTGACAGAAAGCTGAACCACCATGTGTATGCTTGGAACTGAACCTGCGTCCTCTGAAAGAGCGTCTAGTACTCTTAAGCACTGAGCCATATCTCCAACCCTTCATTCAGTCCCTGTGAAGGGAACTGGTCCCAGGACCCCCTGACCATATCACACCCATCAGAGGCTCACACACCTGGTGTAAAATGATGTGGTATTTGCGTGTAACCTACATGCCCTTGTACCATAAATTTCTCATAATATCCAATATGAGGTAAACACTACGAAATTACTATTCTGTCTTGTTTAAGGAATGGCAAGAGAAAAGTTAGTGTATTTTCAGTCTAGATTTTTTCTTCTGAATATTTTCCATCCACAGTTGGCTGAATCTGTGACTGTGGGAGCCATGGATACGGAAGGCTGACGATACTATTCTTATCACCTACAGAAAAGTGATGAGGGCCATCTGATCACAGAGTTTCGAATTAAAACCTCTCGTACCTCCTCTTTCCACTGTTCGTGGTGATTTTCCCCACGGTGCCTATCTGGTACCACACTATCCCTAAGTGTACACTCACAGCTGACCGAAGCCAACGTACACAGAGACCGGGTGGTCACCCTTACCACCCTAGACTCCCGTCCCCTCAACCCACCCTCTGCCTTTTGCGGGCTTAGCTCGCAGGCCCTTTGCCACATGGTTCCCCGTATCTAGCCAAGCCTTTATTTCGGGATAATGCATGCCGTCTTCATGTCTAGCTTTCTTACAAGCATTCTTGCCACATCAAGCCAGGAGCTCATTTCCCCCAATGCTGCTTCCACAAACGTCATCCACGCCATCTACCCTAAAGCCCTGCTTCACACTCTTTCATCCTGGCATCTGAAACGTGTCTGGGAGCATCCCGGGAGACTCACAGTCCCTGCCACAGAATCTCCATGTGGGCTTTTCACAGTTGCTCCTTTGAAGCCTTCAAATCCCCTAGTGAACAGTTGTCTCTTCCTGGTAACTCTGTGTGGACTGTTTCCTTCAGTCTTTGTCCCATGCTTTTCAAGCCAGCCGAGATCTGAGCCAAGGGACAAGGTTCACTAATTGGCCTCGGCATGCCACTTGTTTCATCATGACGTGTCCAGCTCCTCATTTTATCAAGCTTGAGGCATCCCGTCGTGGAACTCTCACCATCCTAGACCCTTAGGTGCTGGTAACCGGACCCAGCCCCAAGCTTAGTTTAACTTTTAATGTTAAGCTGGCTTTCCAGCTATCTTACTCTCCAGGCCTGCACATCTGGAATCATTCACGTCGTGGCGGTTGAAGTTTCCACTAATTCAAATGGAATGCTAGGGATGGAGGCCACTGGGAGGCCTTCAGCGTCCCTCAGTCCAGGCAAGTCATTCCACTGTAAGAAAAGCCATTTGTCAACAAGCATCCTAGAAAGGGCTCACTAGGGCAGAGCCCTGAACTCAGAACTGGAAAAAGTGCAGCGCTGGATGTGGTGGCCCGGAGGTAAGGCTGTGGGCAAGGCTATTGAGAAAATGGTGGTATCCCTTCAAAATGTCCCTTTTAAGAAGAGGACTATGTGGCTGGAGAGGAGGCTCAGGGCTTTAGAGTACTTGCTCTTCCAGAGAATCAGAAACTGGTTCCCATAATCTATGTCAGGCAGCTCACAACTGCCTAGAAGCCCAGCTCCCGGGGATCTGACACTTCCGGTTCCATGGGCACCTGAACTCCCGTGCACATACTCACATCCACACACTCTTACACATAATTAAAAATAATAATAAGAGACGATAGGAAGGTATCTCCTCCTTCCCTCTTTACTCCCCTCCCACCCACTACCTCTGTATTATGAAGTCACCATGAGAAGGTAGCTGCTGTCTGCTGGCTGAAAAAGAGGATCCTAACCAAACCCCAACCGTGCTGGCATCATGACACTGGATGCCTCAGCCCCTCACTGTGGGAACCAGAAGCTCTGTGGTTGATACCACCGAGCTGCATTTTTTTGTCACAGAGCCCAAGATGATAACACAGATAGCAAACCCTGCCCAGTTTACGTGATTCACACATACGAACTAGAATCCAGACGCATGACCATCTTTGTCTGCTCAGCCACTGTGCTTAGGAAAGATACGGACATGGGGGAAAGCAGCAAGGAAACTGCGTAAGAAACACATAAAAACTGATTTGTCCTCCAATCTTCCCACCCACCTGTAAACACAGAATGACTATCTTATGTAATCATGAATACTTTCCAGACATCATATTTACTTGTTAGTCAATGCATGGACTAAAAAAACCTGTGAAAGTATACACTGAACGAACAGCAACGGCCATCTCTGGAACAGACTGGGAGAGAGGAGGAGGAAAAGAGAGGCACTTTGGCTGAGATCAGCAATTTTAATGTGTTTGTCTATAAAATGAAAAGCACACAGTCTTGCATCTATCTGCTGAACAAAGAAAGGACAGAAACCATATGCAGGACATGGTGGGCCTGGCTTTCCTGTTTCATGAGGCAGCCTCCTTTCTAGCCCTTCTCTCTGGGACAGGAGAATGCAAAGTTTAAAGGTTCTGAGTGTTTGTCCCATGAATGTCATATCCCTAGTAGTTGGTGCCATACTCATCACATGGTAAGTGTGGCTTGGACACATGTATCCTGATTAGTTGTTTTTTTTTTTTTGTTTTTTTTAGTATAACTTATTGGGTCAACTTGACACAAGCTAGAGTCATTTGAGAAGGGAGCTCCTCAACAGCCCTGCCAGACTGGCTTGTTGGGAAAGCCTGTGGTGCATTTTTCTTGATTAGTGACTGCCGAGGGAGAGCACAGCTCACGAGGGCAGTACTACCCCTGGACACGTACTCCCAAACTGTGTAAGAAAGCAAGCCAGTAAGCAGCATCCCTCATGACCTTTGCTTCTGTTCCTTCTTGGAGTTCCTCTTGGTGTGTTTCCTCAGGGCAACAGAAACCTAACTAAGGTGGTGTGCAGGTGTTCATGACTAAAGGAGATGCCCCAGCGAGTTGCAGAGCTCAGCAAGGTTCCACGAGAACCTGGCCACGCTGGAATATCCATGGATGTAGCCCAAGCGGGAAGGAAACTCTTGATGGCACCTGGAACTCTTGACGCACACTGGAAGCAGAACTACGATTCCAGCGCTGAGGGAGATCTATCCCCTAGGGTGTGCGGCCCTGTGCTTTCTGACCAACCAAGACTCATGAGGTCCCCACAGAGACCCCCCAAACCTCCGCAATACGCAGGAGTGTTTAAGAGGTGTGTATGTCCCATACTGAGCCTCGGCAGAACACGAAGGCTGGGAGCCCAGACCTGGGCTTCAGCTCACTCTTCTGATCTCATCTCTCCAGCTGTAAAATAAGGATGTCCCCACTGTCCTCCATGCACCATCCTTGGAGAAGGGTAAGAGTTACACAAAACCCACCTCCGTAGGAAGGTAGCCAGGTACCGTCCTGTGACCTCACCCACACAGACGGTATCCTTCTAACTCTCAGACACAAAATACTTCCACAAACACTCCAGTTGATCTTGAGGTCCATGGACTTGGGTAGACTATAGAGACTGAAGGAAGCAGGAGTCCATTGTCCACCATACCCCCTCACCACCCCCACCCCAGTTCTGCAGTCAAGCCCTAATTGCCACGTTGTTGGGGGAGAGATTTTACAGATTTCATAAAGGCCTAATTAGTTGACTTTAACTAAAGAAGTTACCCTTAGTGGGCTCAACTCAATTAGGCAGCGGGACTGAGCTTTTCCTGGCAAGGAAGGAAGGATGGCAGATGGACCCACAGACAGACTGAAAGGCTCCATCAGCTGATAGACCCCCAGTGGCTTCCCCCTTCCTTTCCTGCACACCCCCCTTCCAGACGGCTGTGCACAGCCGCAGACGTGCATGGAAATCTTTCCAGTGCAGATTTCGGCCTTGTTTACCCATCCAACCCCACAGTCTGCCGAGCCTCTGTGTAAGACAGATCTTTACATACGCCGTCTCCCACGGCTTTCCTGTCTAGCTGAGTCCTAACTGAGACACATTTCCCACAAGTGTTAACTTGGGTGTAAAATAAAGCTACTTCCTCTGTTCCACGTTAAACACTGTAAAGTATCCAAGAACTGATGCAAATAAAATAGAGCTGTTTCTCAGTCTCTGTGATAGCTTTGACCTGCAAAGTCACTGTAAGACCTGAATTAGTGACTCCAGTGCTAACTTCTGAAGAAAACTGTTCACCTGTCCATGCATACATGCTGGGCAAGTACGCTACCACTGACCTACACCCCAGTGCCGCTTCTAGGAGAAACGTGAGTTAGGTCCTGTTTACCCCCGGATGGAGTAAGAATGGTGTGTGGGCCCTGTCTCATAAGGTAGGAGTGATATTCTAGCACTAGGTAGCCATAAAAGTAACAAATATTGGGGCTGGAAAGATGGCTCAGCAATTAAGACCGATGGCAGTTCTTCCAGAGGATGAGTTCAACTTCCAGCACCCATGTGACAGCTCACAACTGTCTGTAACTCCAGTCCCAGGGGATCCAACACCTTCACACAGACATGAATGCAGGCAAAAAAAAAAAAAAAAAAAAAAGCACACAAAATATGAAAATAATAATAATAATTTTTTAAAAGGTAACAAATACCTGCAGTAATAGAATCAGAAGGATTGAATAGGGACTAGCAACCATGGTTCCCACTCTGAAGCAGTGTGGGAAGTGTGTCAGTGTGTCAGGCACAATTATAAATTCTCTGGTGGCTTTACAGCGTTTATATGACACCAAATATATGTCCAGGCTGTAGAAAAAAAAGCCAACGGGAAATGGCATTCTCCTAGGGTGCCAAGGGCCTCAGTCTGCCCAAGACTAATGAGTTTCCCGGTCAACATGATATCTAGTGCTAAACTGGGGAAATCTTTGAGAAACCAGAGCAATCAGTTGGTCAGCTTAGGCTGGTCATGCCAACTTGAGCCCAAATTCCAGCTTGTCCATCTGGGAAGAGTGACAATGTCTTTGAATGTTAATGTCCCCATTTAAAAACAGGTTTAGAGGGAAGGCAGAGGCAGGTGGGTCTTTGTGAGTTCAAGGTCAGCCTGGTTTACAAAGCAAGTCCAGGACAGCCAAGGCTGTCTTGAAAAACCAAAAACCCTGTCTTGAAAAACCAAAACCCAAAACAGGTTTAGCAGCAGCACCCCTCCTCCAGGGCCATCAGAGGCAGAAAGCCCTTGACACACCACAGCTACCTATCAAGAGATCAAAACAATGTGAGAATTTTATTCACCCCAGAAAACTTGAGCTCTCTCACATCACAGCAAATGGCACAAAGGAGATAGCGGTCCAGGATTGGGTAGCTCTAAACTAAGTTGAAGTCCCTAAGTATTCAATTTACTACGTGTCCATGCAGCTGTGGGAAGACAGACGAGAGTGACAAAACAGAGAGTTCAGTAAACTGGGCAGGGCACTTGGGCAGTGGAGACAGATGGATCAGGAGTTCAAGGCCAGCCTCGGCTATGTGATGGATGTAGGGCCAGTTTGGGCTACATGGTACTCTATCTCAGACAAAAGTTATGTCAGCTTCCGGCCAAAAAGATGACACAAAAGTTGCAAAACAAATGTTTTGGGACATTATGTAGGTTTTCTTTTTTGACAAAGCATAAGACAAGGATTCCCTGAGAAAGAGGAAAAGAGCCCAGGAGCACCGGGTGCTCTGTCTAGAGAGGAGGTCCAGGGCCACTGCAGGGAATAATGAGTAGGAGGGTCGATCTAGGCGCTTACTCTAGGAAGGAATGGTTCCTACTCCACCCAGCCAGATTAGAATATCCTCCTAACATGGCCAGCATTGGGTACAGTCCTTCAAGAGCAGGCCTTTCCCTAATGAGCCCACATTAGCTCAGGCGAGGTATTGGCAAACTTCTCCTTTAATTCTAACTATTTCCGGCTGTGGGTCAGAGGGTCACTGCTGCAATGCCCCAGAGCTCTGCTGCCAGAGCATTAAAACAGCCACAGAAAAGATGTCAACAGACAGCCATGGTGTGTCCCAATAAAACTTTATTTCCCAATACAGGCAGCTGGACTGTGGGGCATAGTGCGGCAACCTCTGGTTTAGATAAACACTATTCTAGACTCACCCGAAGTGTGCTGGACAGCAGGGTTACAAAGATCAAACTAGTTCCAAGGAACTCATTGCATCAGACCAACCAAGTTCAGACAGTAACTAGAGAGATGCAAAAAGCCAGCACGCCACAATACAGAACTCACAACAGAACTCACAATCCAAATCCAGAGTTGTCAGATCTGCAAAGAAGCAGGAAAATACAGCCCATAATGATGGAAACAGCAGTCAAAAGAAGCAGACCCGAAAAGGCCACAGGTGACCGAGTGAGCACACACACACCAAAGCACAAGTATAATGGTATACTTCACAGAGAGAGAGGAAAGCAGATGAATGGTGGTGAGGGAGCAGAGAGATCAGGTAGCAGAAAAGGTCACACCTGCAAAGAAAAACCAAAATAAATGAGGTAAGCCTCAGAACCAATTGGAGAAAAGGAGTTAATGAACTTAAAATCACAGTGGTGGAGGTAGCAAGATGGCTTAGCAGGTAAAAGCACTAGCTACCAGGTCCAATGGCCTGAGTTCAAGCCTCAGGACCCACATGATAAAAGGACAGAACTGACTCTTCCGTAACTTGTCTTCTGGCTTGCGTTCTCACCTGGTGGGATTAACAGTACCACCATGCCTAGCTGAAGAAAAGAAATAGTTGAGGACATGTCTTTGATAAAAGCCATGTATACAGACTACATGATAGAACAGTGGCTAGAGACCCCACCATCATACCATGGATGAACCTGGGGGCTATTACATTAAATGAGATAAAGGCAGATACAAAGGGCTGGAGGATGTGTTACCTTACTTATATGCAAAAATCTAAGCAACAAAGAAGCCAGACATCATAGGTAGAAAATAAAACAGTGGGGCAGGAAGAAGAAAGATGTAGGTTAGAAAAAGCAAGCACGTGGTAGGAACAGGTCTGGGGATCAAAAGCACATTCTGAGACTCCACATAACAAGACTGTACTTAATTTAGGAATCCTGCTAATTGAATGGATTGCAGTTTATCTTAACTTTAAAACAGAGCTGGTAACTAGACATAATGACTGTTTTGCTTTCTTTAGCCATTTTATCAACTATGCTGGTTAGTGTATTATTTGTTGTTATTATTATTATCTTAAGATAATATTATGTTACTATCTTTCTGCATAGATCAGGCTGACCTTTAACTCACAGAGATCTGCCTGCCTCTGCCTCTGGAGTGCTGGGACCAAAGGCAAAGGCGTGCACCACCAAGCCCAGATAAATGTCAGCTTGCTACTGACCTAAGAGGAAAGTCTTCTCTTGGGAATTTCCCAGATCAGATAGATGGGCATGTGGAATTGACTGACTCTGTGATTAATTGATGGAGGGTTCCTGAACTGTGTAAGAAAGCTTTGGGAAGAGAGGCATACTGTAAGACAGCTAACCACCATCCTCTTCCATGGTTCTTTAGCTATGAAGTGAGTTCACTCAGGGGCTATCCTGGGTGAAAGAGTTGGCAGGCCTGCCTTCAAATTCCTGACCTGACTTCTCTCAATGGTGGACTGTAGTAACCTAGACTTAGAAGATAAAATAGACCCTTTCTTTCTCTAAGTTGGTTTTGGTCATGATGTTCTATTACAGCATCAGAAATAAAACTAGGGCCGGCGGTGGTGCACGTCCTTAATCCTTCCGGGACAGCAAGAGCTACATAGTGAGACCCTGTCTCAGAAAAAATGTATTTAAAAATCCAAAAATCTAAAAGGTGCATGCAAAACTAACAATTTCTTAGAACTCAACTATATAATGAAAGAAATTGAAGAAATAAAGAGGATAGCAGAAGTGTCTCGTGTGCCAGGCATGGTGGCACAGACCTTTAGTCCCAGCACTCTGGAGGTAGAGGCTGGATCTCTCAGTCAGGCCACCCTCGTCTACAGAGTGAGTTCCAAGACAGCCAGGACTACACAGAATAATCCTGTCTCAAAAACTTAAAAAAGAAGGAGGAGGAAGAATGAATATTGTGAGGTCAAGGCCAGTGTGGTATACAGGAGAACCTGTCCCAAAGCAAAGGCTTTCGACTTTTGTCTAAACCCCACTGAACCTCATACTTAAAACTGGGCCCACTTGTAGCTAGGTGGTGTTGACACATTGCTTTAATCCCAGCACTCGGGAGGCAGAGGCAGGCAGACTCTGTGAGTTCAAGTCTCCTGGACTACACAGTCTACAAGGACAGCCAGAGAAATCCTGTCATGAAAATCAAAGAGAGAGAGAGAGAGAGAGAGAGAATGAGAGTTTGTAATGCTTCAAGTTAGCAACTCAATAAAGCCAACACACAAAAAAAGTATCTACTGGGGCTGCTGACGAGATGGCTCGGCAGTCAGTCAAGTGTGTGCTGCTCTTACAGAGGACCTACATGTGGGAGCTGCACTCACACCAGGTAGCTCACAATGGCCAGTTAATTACAGGTCCAGAGACCCGACAGGTTGGCACCCACCATCAGCACCAGGAGCAGAATGTTTACATGGGTGAGGGGATCCACACTGAGGACAGCACGATTTTATGGCGAGCCCTCTCCTGGCTAAACCATCTCTCCAGCCTGTGTTTCTCCTTTGAGAGAGGATGACTGCTTTTGTTCCATAGTTTTACATTTGCACACGTGTGTGGTATGTTTGTATGTATTTATATAGGTATGTGTGGATGCACACGTACGCTTGTATATTTGAAGGCCTGAGGTTGACATCACGTGTCTTCCTCAAATCACTTTCCACCTCTGTGGGCATCTGCCCTCACAGGCATGTACCCGCACACACAAATATGATTTTTAAAACAAAACAAAGTAGACTGAAATCAGCAACAAGGCCAAAGAAGAATGCAGGAGTCTTCCCAAGGGAAGAACAGCCCAACGTCTATATTTAACTCATCTCCTAAAATATTTATTTTGGTTTACATTTTCTAGTATGCATAATATGCTCATACATTAGCATATGTATATAATTTATAAGTGAGTGTTCAGACGATGAGATCTGTACTCTTTTTTTTTTTTTTTTTTTTTTTTTTTTCCTGCTGATAGAGACCCATTTAAAGCCCTTG